CTTCATCGAACCAGTAAGGGTAGAGAGATCCTCTTTCATAGTACAGGAGAAAGTTGTAGTTTACAAATGATCATGAGGCCGATTTAGCAGGGGCTAACCTCGTAGAATGAACCGTTGTTAACAAACGGGGTCGGTGATACAATTGTTGATACAGAAACTAGAGTAGTTAAACGAGTAGAAGCTAGGTTTATAGAGGTCTCAAAAGTTAAATAAATAATATTGATGTTAGTCTTGTTAACGGTAACTTTGATATCTGTAAAAGCATATTTATCGGACATATGACTACATGACTATTCAATCGCACTAGCACGTGAACATAATAAGAGACCATCTGAATATTTACATTATCTAAAATAGCTTTGAAAATGTCCCCTAATTCGAGACTATGACTGTTTCAAAATAAATGATTAATTAAAATACTATTTTTACAGTCTCATTCTTCCATACATAATCACTAACAGCCTAGGATATACAATACGTTAAACAATAATTGTTAGATTAGGAAAGGAACAATAGAATTATCTCACAAATCCTCTAGCTTTGGATACGTTCTTGACATTAGAAAAATAAAATAAAATGAAGTCATAAAAATAGTTTTATAATTAATTGTGGACTATATTTAATCTGATCTGAAGTTATTATTATATAAAGATATGCTTTCACAACCACTTAAATTAAAATTAACGTGTCTCACGGCGTATGTCTTCTTACAGTTAAGCATCCGAATTTATCCGAATACATGTTAACTCGATCTAATCAAAAAACACCTTAGGTGGGGGGGGGGGGGAAGTGCAGCCAAAAAGGATTCAGCGTGCGACGTAAAGGAATGAAATCAAAATTGGTGGTCAAACTGGTAGCTACACTTATATTATTCATAAAAATTTTACAGTAAATATTCATTCATTAGTTAGCTAAGCCGCGTATTTTGTTTTACCCACCATCATGCCCTAAGTTGAACAAATAACGCGGCTTGGCTAACTAATGAATTAATAATTGCTGTAAAATTCTTATGAATGATATAAGTGTAGCTACCAGTTTGACCACCAATTTTGATTTCATTCCTTTACGTCGCACGCTGAATCCTTTTTTGGCTGCACCTTTTTTTATTCACAACTAATG